TACTTTAATCACCAAAACCTTACTACCTTGAGATAAGATTTGAGGGTCACTATTGAGGATGCCTAATTTCTATTGTTCGGAGGCCGGTTTGGGGGGTGGGGGTGGGGGAGGGGGAGGGGGGGGGGCCCCCATATTAAAGAGGGTCCAACATTATAAGGTCCCTTTGAGGGGGCTATAGGGGATTTAGGGTTTAGAGCTTAGGCTTAGGGATATTAGAGGATCATAAGGATGAATCTTCCCCATATAAAAAAATGGACACTGGGTTCTTAATCGCGAACATATTCGCACTATACTATACTAGACCACCCCTATGTCGACCCTTTAATTAAAGCTCCCTTGGTAAGCTCAACATGGACAATACCCTAAACTCTCATCCCTCCACCCTAAGCCCTAAACCCTAAACTCTAAACCCTCAACCCCCTAACTGAAGGGTTTAGGACTCAGGGTTTAGGTTATCTTAGGTTGTTTTTTTGGGGAGCCGCAATCTGGAAATTTCCAAAACAAGGGACCACAACTTGCGCGCCAAAATCATGCACAGCAACCAGTATCTCAAAAGGAGCTTCAAATTGTTGGTAACCGCCGAACTGCGAACGAATGTTTCTTGGAGGGACTTGCTCAACTACGTATGCAAAGGCAAAATGGCAGTTTCCATAGATAAGGGGAACCCAATATAGACCCAAAATATGATCATCCTTACTATAGGGACCCCCAAAATGGCGCCCCTAATTTTAGGAAACCCCCAAATATTTTTGGGCCCATGGTCGCACTTCATGTTTGGATTTCGAAATCTTTGACGGAAGCTTACTGTTTATGAATTCGTCAGAGATGGCCTTGCAGCACAGAAAGCTAGAAGTGCCCTGAAAGCCCTAAACCCTAAATCCTAAGGCTGCGCGTGCGTCAGTCTTGACGGACGCGCTGATGCCAGACAAGGTGGCCTGTAGCCCCTGTAGGTTTAGGGTTTAGGGTTCAGGGTTCCTAGTATCCCCCTTAATGACATCTATGGTACTCCTCTATAGAATCCCCTTTTGAGTTTAGACTATAGCTCATCTGAGCAGCGTTTTTTGGGTGGTTAAAGTCAGTAAGATAATATTCCTTATATCAAATGCTATACCCCAAAAGGAGGATATAATCTTACTCTATATTGGGTACCATAGTATCCTCAAATAAAATACTGCTCATCTGGTAACCAAAGCCGGAGTCTTGAGGTATCCCTACCTGGACTCGAAGCTAAGCCAGCAACCGGAACTGCGGGCGTTCAGGGTTTATAGGGTTTAGGGTTCTGCCACTGTGAATCCTCGAATCCTACCCTTTTACTTTAAATGCCTTTTGAAGTTGTAATGTAGACGACATTTATAACAACGACCTTGTAGCTGAACAGCAGTCATGCATGCAACTTTCGAGTCAAACTCCCATGCCCTAAATCCTAAACCCCTACCCCCCAAAACTCACAGCCCTTCTACCAATCTCCACCTGCAACCCAGCCTCCCATATCCTGCGACCTGAGCCCTTAACCCCAAGGGTTTAGGGTTTCGGGCTCAGGGTAAACCTGCTTATGCCTGTCCAGCCGCAGAGCTAATGCATTTGTCCGGATACAGTGTCTGCAAGTGAAAGAGCGACTTAAACCCTCAACACACGAGCTAGAGCCTAAACTGCTGGTATCCCCCTGTATAACCCCTACTATACTCCCCTTTATAGCTTTGGGGGGTGTAGACTACAGATCACGTAAGGCCTGAACTATAAACCCTAAGCCCTGAACCCCTAGCCCCCTGCGGCCTGAAATTCGAAATTTGAAGCACCAAAGCTCCCAAAGAGCCTGCTGTCCAACTGCCTTCTTTAGACCCTAAACCCTAAACCGGTTTGAGGAATGGGGTTTGGGGGTGTCAGGTTTCTTTAGGTCTAGGGTGGAGGGTTGCTTTGACGTTCAGATTTTACAGCTTATTTGCCTTTACGGGCTTTGGGTGTAGTGTGTGAGGTGTTTTAAGGTTTAGGTTTTAGTATTTCATGGTTCTGAACCTTTTGAGAGCATCTCTCTACTGGCCCTGAAAGTCGAGGTGCTAGAGTGCTAGAGGGATAGATGATGAGTTTTCGGCCAGCTCAATATAAAGGATATGTTGAACGCATTTGAGGTTTCCCAAAATTAAGAGTACCATTTGGGGGGGTTCTACTGGGGACTACAGTTTTTGGGGGTCGAAATTGGGGTCGGGGTCCCTGTACTGAGGGACACTAACATATCTTTCCGTACTTATATGTTGGTGGCTCAAGATTGTGGATATTTCGGACTTGGAGATCAGGACGGGTTCGGGCGTCTTGTTTATTGGCATGATGGCTCTGGGGTGAAAGGCTTCAAAGAATTACTCCGCTTGGGGCCCAATATGGAACCCCCCTCCCACAACCCAAACTTCTCTTCTGGCCATTTCAGGCAGGCCTCAAAAACTCTGCTCCTCACCCCGCAGATACACTATCCAGCATTCCTAAGGAGCCTATGTACACACACCGAAACCCGACACAAAAGCAAAAACCTTACGTCACGTAGGGTTCCCAAAGCCCTAAACCCTTCACTGTGTTTCCATGTTGGATGCAAAGACAATCAAGGCTTGCCAGGGTGTATAAACCAGCAAATGGAAGCTGTCAAATTTCTGGCCAAGAATGTGAGCTTAAGGTTTGGATTTCTTGTTGAGTGCAGGGTTCAAGGCTTGGGGTTTAGGTTTCCTTTTGAGTGTAGGGTTTGGGGCTTAAGGGTTAACGCTTAGGCCTCAGCTCTCCGCCCAACCATCTCCCCTCTCTTTGAACAGGGTTTGCTGTGCTAAGTTTTCAGTCACGCAAAGGTTTTAGGGAGCAATTCCTTGAAACAACCAGCTCGCCCACAAGCGGATTGATAACGTTCATAGCCGAGAGCATACGGTGACTGGCCAAACTCTAAACCCCTTAACCGCTAAACCCCTACCCCAAAACCCCAAAACCCCTAGACCGGACCCCCAAACGGAAAACCGTTCATCCCCGAGAACACACCATCAGCTGTGCATCCAGTTTAGCGTTTAGGGCTTAGGGAAACCCATGGAGAGGAAAATGGGCGTGGAAAAGAATCTGGAAATTACTATAATGGGTTATATTGTACAGCGTATATGTTGGGGTTATATTGCTACAACATACTAGAATACAGGTTTAGGGTTTAAAGGGGTTTATAAGGTGTAGGTTTTTGGGTCATGGCTTAGGGTTCGGGACATGAAATCGAAACCCCTAAACCCTAAACCCTTGTACCATAAGCGGCGTGTGGCGCAAAGCCCGAGGCCCAGCTAGCTGCATCGAGATGGAGCTCGAGGTCTCCCTATAATATAGCTCTGTGTATATGAGCTATAGTCTAAACTCCTAGTATCCCCCTTAATAACTCCAATAATACTCCCATATAGAATCCCCTGTATAAACCACTTGCAGGAATGTAGACCATAGCTCATATGCTGAAAGGGAGGCCTTCCAGGTGGTTTTTTCGCCCAAGCTGGTCAACCAACTCAGTTTCTGGCCTCTCTGGGCCTTCCAGCACAGCTCATCTTGATCCCGGCTCGGAGGCAACGTTGCGCACCAGAACACTTTCCCGGGTGTGAAGGCCTCTGCAATAGGGAGAGTTGCAGAATGTGCGGTGGAGCGCATTCTCTTCTCCACATACAATGGTTTGGTCCCTTCGGGTTGGAAAAAGCTGGGGTTTGGGGTTTGCCTTCGGCGTGGTGTGCAGGACCTTCGAGGCCCATACGGTGAATACAAAAAGCCCTGCCACTGCATGACCCTACGTGCGTTATACCTAGCCATAAAAGTCCTGCATGACCCTAAGTACCTTACACCTCGGGAGTAATGGTATCCTGCATGCTCATCTCATGAGCAATCGTCCCGTTTTGCAGGGGAGGTCCTTCAGGGGGCTCCATGATAAGAACTGCACTGAGAAAATTGCAAAAAGCAGGTCATTGTTGTTTAGCTCCTTGCCTTCGGCAGAAAAGGACTTACATGCATACTTCTACTCCGTGGCTCCTTGCATACTAGCCCTATGCAATAAATCCCACCATCAGGTGAGTAGTGTTTTTTTGGTGGTTGAACCTGGTAAGATTATATTCCTTCTATAGAATACTATACCCCAAAAGGAGAGAATCTTACTATGTATTGGGTACCATAGTATCCCCAAATAAAATACTACTCAAGTGCAGCTACATGCATGGGAATATCACAAGTTGTAGTTTAAGGGTCCTCCAAAGCAGCTACAAAGATGCCCTGAAAACGCGGTTTAGGGTTTAGGGATTAGGGTTTAGGGTTTCGGGCTGCCAGCTTACCAACCAGCATGAATGCAAGGAGATTATCAGGGTCCACCATGCCGGATTTGATGAGAATCGCTTTGAAAACCCTAAACCCAAACCTTGAATCCTGGGCTTTGTCATTAAAGCGTCTGCGAACATGGGTTTAGGGTTTAGGGCCTAGGGCTCAAGCCTATTCTCCTCCCTATAACTTAGTAGGAGAAGTGGGATTAAAGTTCAAGGGCCTGTTGTTGGCACCTTCCTGTGGTTACAACAGAAATGCCCAAAGAAGCCACAAAAATCACGTGAATACTGAAGCATGGAATCTGTGTCAAATCCATAGCTAAGCTCAAAACCAGCTGTTGAGTACTGGTATGTAATGAAGAAATAAGCAAGAAAATGAAAGCTAATTTGGGATGTTTAGGGCATAGGGAGGGGAAAACATAAGGAAGGGAAGAAGAAAAATGCAATACCGCCATTTAGGTGTTGCTTATCTCTGGTTAAAAAAAGGTTGGGAATGGATCCTCATACTAGCCCTACACAAGCCCAAAAAATACAAAGGTTTCCATGTTCCTTTGCATCCCTTCATTTCTTGCTAACCGGAAGTTTAGGGGTTTAGGGATGCGTACGGTTCTTCGTCTCAGGATCGCACGCAGATGCGGCACGCTGCCCAAGCTTTGGCCTGCAGCGCTAAACTGCGAACTCCGATACCCCTTAATGAATCATTGGGTTAATATTGGGATGATGGAGAATCAAATGGAAAAGAAAATGGAAAATGACATGGAAACTGGTGTTGCAGAAACCCTGTTGGGGGCCCTAGAAAATACTCTGTGTAAAGTACATTCCGGAATTGCGGCGGATAAGGCTTTCTGGGACCATGACAAAAAATTATGAAAACAGTCAATGCGAACACACATTGCCACGGTAGAAACCATCTCCGTCACCACTACTATCTGCCGCCACCACCACCCCAAACAACCAACGCCGCCGTCGCATCAACACAACAACAACCAGTTCAACAACGACGGCTGCCATCACCTCTATTGCCGCCAGCAGAACATGTGACTTAGGAGCACGGTTGAGGTTTCTTTGTTTCGTTCTTCCACTCTCCTCTCCTGGTGATGTCTTTCTTGCTTTCTTTATCTATTTCCCGCTTCTGCTCTGTTCTTTTATTTTTCTATTCATCATCGTCTTGTTGTGATTATGTATTTCCTTCTTTTCTTGTTGTTATTCCTCATTTCTGGGTTTCTTTCTTTCTGGCTTTCTTTGTGTCTTTCTTGAATTTTCCTGTCAATCTTTCCTAGTCATTTCTGCCGTGCTTTCTGTTTTTATTGCGCTTTTTGCTTCCTTTTTTTTAAAAGAGAGTTCTACTCGAGAAGCAGAAATTTGTTGTTTTCTTTCCGCTGATTTCCAGCGTCCAGAGCTGCCAATGCTGCGTTTTGTGAACTGAAAAAAATCTTGCTGTTTTGTTTATTCTTTTTTCTGCAATTTTTGCTGTCCGACCCATTGTTGCTGCTGCAGCAGTAGCAGCACAACCACCACTGCCGCTGCGACCGCCACCGCCGCCGCCGCTGCCCCCGCCCCCACCACTGCAACCGCCACCGCAACTGCCAACCCAAGCTCTCAGCAACATGAACAGCACCACAACAATCGCAAGCAGGCCACAATCACTGTAGACCCAACAGGACGGAGACACATGAGCTGTTTAGACTATAGCTCAAATAGTTATAAGGACACCAGGACCTACAAGGTGGCGAGTGGCGAAAAAGACGGAGTAGCATATGCTTTAGGGTTTAGGGTTTATAACTACAGGGTTTGTGTTGAACTTCAGATTCCGAGGCTACGAGGGTTTCGGAAAGCAAGTCCAGCATTCAGATGCTTGTGTTAGCATGGATCTGACCATGACAGTCAGAGGAAACCTGCTAAATGTGTTCTGATATGCAGATGTCCAAAACAAACCCTGCTTGGAGGCCCGTGGGACTTAGTAACTACTTATAACCGGGCGTATAACCCTAATTATAATCCTCCTAAAGGGGCTTGTAGGGGTTACCCCAATTATAAGTAGGGTTGCAATCCCAGTTATAAATAGTTGATAGGTCTCATGGGCCTCCACGTATCATGTCCCTTAGGAAGGTGTTCCATATAAGGCAGATCCAAAGCATCACTAGGCCTCCGTAAGGTTCCACATTTTGTCTCATAGCATACCGTATCTCCCCGTAATATTAAACCCCATGGCCCCGCTAGTACTAGATACTCCCAATGTATTGTAGTATACCAACATAAGGGGAGTATTCAAAATTTAGGGGGGGGTCTTAAGTTGAGGAGTAGGCTCAGGGCTTCCTTCGCATGGGATATTTGGATGTTCATGAAACTTACCTGGACCCCAAAAGTAAGCAAAATGACAGCCCAAAAGCCCTGCTTCTGCATACATTGGAGGTTCAGGTACTTACTGACTACCCCCAACCCTGCCCACATCCCCTTCCCCCCTCCAGCCCCTAAACCCTAAACCACATTCAACAAAGAAATTCCAGGGCTTCCAAGGCTTGAGTTGGGAGTAGGGGCCGGTGAGCATCTTTTGGATGACCAAAGGGTTTAGGGTTTAGGGTGGAATATTGGGGTTATATAGGGTTTAGGGTTTAGGGTTTAGGGTGCGCGATAGACTTTACAGTAAGTTTTTGAAGGAAGTATAACCTACTTAGAATTAGGGTAACCCATATAGGTCCAGCTAAGGCTGTTAAAAGGTACAGTCATAAACCCAGTTGTAAGTAATTGCCGAATTTCCCTAAACCCAAACCCTAAATCCTTAAGTAGTTCCGGTCCTCAAAAGGGCTGTTTCAAGGCCCAGGACAACACGAGGGGGGGGTTCTCAAAACTAGGGGCCCTTGGAACCCTAGATACTTAGTAAGGGATAGGGTTTATAACCAACTTGTTATAGCTACCACCCAAAAGTGGCCAGCCAGCAAAATGCAAGGAGATTCTGGGGCAACTACTAGCAGTCACATAATAGTTTCTATAAGTTAGGGTCCCCAGTATATCCCAATATAACCCATTCCTGATTATGGCCCCCCACCCTAAAAGAACCCCTAATTTACGGTGACCCCATCTGGGGCACGTTTTGGGAAATTTTCGCATGTTTGGAGCCACGCAGGTTTCCCATGCAGCATGGTAACTATCTGGTTTAGGGTCAGTGGCTTAACAGTAAGGGTTTAGGGTTTAGGGTTTTAGGGTTTGGCGTTTAGGGTTTTAGGGTTTGGCGTTTAGGGCTCTGGGTGGGCCCCCTTAACCTTCCTGTCAGGGCTGCCATCTGAGTTGAGTCAATATTCCGCGATATAATTTGTAATGGGAATTTGTTAATGGGTATGAGACCTAATAGGGGTAGATATACATAGTAGGGACTATATTAAACTACCAAAGGGACCCCTATGTCCACTGCTGATGGTTACCTGGTCAACCTAATGTTGACATTAGCTTATATGTTGACCCTGAACCCTAAACTCTAGACCCTAAGCTCTATATCCTAAACCCTAAATCCTAAGCTTCAAACCCTAGACCCTAAACTGTTGCCATTAAGCCCAAGTCGCTCGGGCTCCGAGATGCCTGGATGCCAGCCTGCAAGAGAGTCTGGGATGCCCAAGGATCGGGATCCGAATCATAATTCTCCTATTATATACCTACTATATTCTTGGGGTTCCCGGTTTGGGGTTCCCATTAAGGTCCTTTTAATAATGTGGACCAAGGGGACCCATGCGGTTTAGGGTTTAGGGTTGAGATTTCAGGGATAAGGGTTTAGGGTTTAGAGGGTTTATAGGGGTTATATAGGGATAATGGAAAAGAAAATGAAAAATACTATTTACTGTAGGGTTTAGGGTTTAGGGTAGACCCATGATTAATAAACCTCCTCCTTTTGAAGGCCTTGATATTAGGATCCCTATTATAATTCTCAGTGAGAGTAGTGGGTTCATTAATTCGGGGTCTACATTATACTGCAAAATCCAATAACTGATCCTCATCATGACTAAACCTGAACGTAGACCCTTATTAATAAACCCTCCCAATAGGGATTATAATAGGGATCCGAATATTTAGGCCCTGAAAAGGAAGGGGCTTATTAATCATGCGCTCATGAAACCCTAAACTCTTAAATCGGATCCGTTTTCCTGGAACCACCACAAAGGGGAAGGTTGTCTTCGGGCGTGACGCCCTTGGCGCTGCGGGCTCACTGTTTTGATTGTTAGCATGAAGGAATAGAAAAGAAAATGCACCCGTTTGAGGTGCACACCGTGTATCCTAAACTCTTAGCCCAAACCCTAATCCACGAACCTAAACCCAGTGTTGTGAGCCTACATTGTAGGGTGAAGTTTCCAGCATTTGAACTTGAAGGCTTTGGCCCAAAATCTGAGGTTTAGGGTTTAGGGCTCAGGGTTGAGGGTATGGGGGCTAGTTCAGGTTTAGGGTTGAGGGTTAGGGTTCAGGGTTTAGGGTTGGCAGCCGGAGGTTCAAGGTCGTCAGATCATAGCTATGACCCTCGAGATCGCGTCAATACACCCTGAAGTGTACAAGCATCTTCTGAGGAAGGGGCTTCTACAAAGAATGTCCACGAAAACGCCACGCAAAATGCCTTGGCATAATCACAGCTCCCTTTTTTGTGACGGAAGATACCCTGCCTCAAGCTGTCCTGTTGCAGGGTTCTATTTTTACCGCACGTCCCCGGTTTAGGGTGGAAGCCCTGAAAGACTCTTGTCCTTAATCTCTGAGGCCCTGTGAAACCCTGAAACCTACAGCTCGGCAAACCCTAACCCTTAAAATCAAAAGCTTTAAACCCCTAAACTCAAAATCCGCAAACCCTAAACCACGAAACTTTAAAGCCTATGTGCTGTGAACCCCTAAGCCCCAGACCCTCAACCCCTAAACCCGAAACTCCCGAACTTTAAAGCCTATAAGCCCTAAATCCCTAAACTACCCCAACCCCCAAACCCTAAACCCCCAAACGTTAAATCCTGTAAGCCCTAAAACCCCAAACCCTCAACCCCTAAACCCAAAACCATAAGCTTTGAAGTCTATAAGTCTTGAACCCAAGACCCCGACGTAGCCCGTAAGCCCTATACCGTTGAGCCCCATGACCTGCTGCGCACTGAACTCCCTGCTGCGATATCCAAACCTTGGATTGCGATTGGCTACTGGGATCATACTTGGGGCTTGGGGCTTAGTTTTTGAGTTTAAGATTTAGGGTTTAGGGTTTGAGGTTTGGGGTTTAGAGCTTAGGGTCTAAGGGGGTTAGGGCTCAGTATCCGGTAATTAGTTTAGGGTTTAGGGTTTTGGGTTTAGGATTCAGGGAGTATACCTTAAATCATACGAAGTATCCTAGTATCCGTTGGGGTATATGACTCAATTAGGGGATGTTGGGCTTCCTGGGCAACAATCGGATTAGGATTTAGACAACACTTATATAAAGCCGGTATGGGGAAATATTGGCGATTGTTTAGCACTACAAACCAAGCCTGACGGCATACTGGCTAGGCGTTGAGGGAAAGTTCCTGCGTAGCCCAAGACCCTACACACAAAACCCTACACCCTAAACCGTGAATCAGAACGCGTAGCTGTCCTTGCTCAGTGTTATGGGTGAACAGATGAATGGATCAATACAGTACCCGGTTTCGTGTTTAGGTTTAGGGTCCTAACTGGACTGCAGCTGGGCACAAATCCCTCCCGCCCGTGGACACACTTAGAACTTCCAATGACCCAGTGGACGGCAAACACTTTTCACAAATGCAGATACAGATAACGATCCACTACACATGTGCTCACGCACATGCCTTTGTTTCCGGATATCTATCTTTCCACTGCCATGTACCCCACGCACTTATCTATCTATCTTTCTACCTACCTATCTATCCATAGCTCTTCACCCCTACACATTCCTGCCGCCGCCAAGACAAGCTAGCAGTGAATTAAAAAGGCCCCAAGTGCCGCTTCATTGCACGTCCTCCTCGCAACCTGCGCCAGGAGGTCGTGGCATCAGCCGTGGGCTTAGGCTTTACATTTTAGAGTTCAAGGTTGAGGATTTAGGGTTGAGGTTCTATGGGTTTGGGATTTTGGTGTTGCGCTCTTATCGCGCATTTTTCTGGCATTCACTTAGAGGTTCAGAGTGGAGACTTTCCAGGTATGGACTTTTATGGGATTGGGGTTTAGGGTGTGGGGCACAGGGCATTTTGAAGTATGTCCTGATGTTATTCTGGGATGGGACCCTAGGATCACCCAAGGACGTTTGGTCAGTAAGCCGTAGCCCTGAGCCCTAGACCCTACATCCTAAACGAAACAGTTTCAAAGGCATGGTAACTGCTCAAGACTGGTTATGCAAAGTAGCATTGCGAGAGCTGTGTACTCAATTCTTCAGCTGGACCCGCCACCCTATAATGGCGGTATGATCGTAATATCAAAGCCTTAACACAAATACCATTTCCCCTTTTTGTCGCTTATGGCTTAAATCAACCTTCCACTGGGTCCACCCGACCCTCCACGTGGAGGTAGCCAGGCCCTAAACCCCAAACTCTCGACTGGGTCCACCCGACCCTCCAAGTGGAAGTAACCAGAACCTAAGCCCTAGATCCTAAACCCCAGGCCCCAAGCACTTAGCCGTTCAGGGCTTGGGGTCGGGTACAAAGTTCCCGTGCTTCGCATGTACCAGGTTTAAGGGTTTAGGGTTTAGGATTTATGGCTTAAGGGCTTATGGCTTTTAGTGGTCCAGGTCTCAATGCTCCCTCTGAAGTTGCATTGTACCCTTTACTGCCCCCTCATACTCCCTTTGTTCTCCCTTAATTAATCTCAACACGGCTCACGATCCCTAAGTGACTTTAATGAAGATGGAAGCCTTAGAGTGGGTAGTACCGGGGAGGGGAGTAGGAGAATCCATGTGCTTACGTTTCAGGTGTTTCAAGGTCTAGGGTTGAGGGTTCTGGTGTTTGGGGCATGGTATGTCAAGAACCTGAGGTGTATGCTTATGCAATGACAACCAAGACAAAGAGCACTACCCACATATCTGCAGCCTTGGCACGGCCTCCAGGGACTAGCTTCACCAGCTCCAGAGGCTTCTTGTTGAAGAACTCCGGGCCGAGCTTGGCAAAATCAACCTTGTACAGGTCGCCAAACTCCCGGCTCAGGCGGCACTCGCCGCATGTCTCCGGCAAGGCGAGCCGATAGCCATCCTGGAGAAACACCTCAGAAAAATACGAACAACAAGGCAGAAAGATATTCGCACAAGAACTGAAAAGAAAGGCCTCGCGAGCTTTCACCACATCTGCGACTGTGCGCTTCTGGAAGGAAGGATCCTTCAGCGCAACCAGGTGTTTGAGGTTCGCGCGCAGGAAAAAATTTGCACCAGCTAGCGGACCTTAAGGAAGTACAACGGCAGCGAGCCAACGACGCGTCGCAAAACGTCGGGCTCGAGGGCTAACAGCTTCCTGATCACCTCAGCAGAAAAGCAACAGACTGCGACCTCGGCAGAGCGCTGTAGCTGCTGAGGTCCAAGCATCAGGAGTGCCGTTGCCCACCTTCATGTGCTTGCCACGAAGAAAGTCGACCAGAATGGACTCCTAGCACGTGGAATAAAACATAAGCACGCCGTTTAGACAACAACGAATCTGCAAAGCCACTAGATGAATAAAAGCCGTGCTTGGAGCTGCAAGCAGCTTCACCTCTAGTCACTCTACCGCCAGGATTCGTTAATGAAATGTAGCATGGCAGACGCAGTGAACCAATGTTGCTGCAAGTGTCCTGGCCGCGTAGGAGCGGTGTGAATTGGCCATGAAAGTTGTCGTGGCCGCGAGGCGCTGCAAGCGCCCTGCAAAAGCCGTCCGTCAGCTTCAGTGACCTAAGCACAAATGACACCACGACGACTGATGCTTTGCTACAAGTTCTGCTCACTTCGCGGCTGCACAGGGTCTAAGGCCAAGGCATTGGGGCGAACTACCGGAGGAGAGTTTCTAATGAGCCCTTATATAAAGGCTATAAAGGAACCATAGGGAGTTATAAGGTTCAGGGTTTAGGGGAGTTATATGAGATATAATCTAAACTCCTAGTATCCCCCTTAATAACCGCTATAGTAGCCCCCCATATATTGCCCTAAAAAACACCCTTTAAGGAGTTTGGACTATGGCTCATATGAGGGATCTTAGTATAGGTTCCCTTTTGGACCCGGAAACCTCGATACCAACGCCACAGTCAAAACACAAAGCCTGAAGTTTGAACACCAACCCAGGGTTTAGGGTTTAGGTAACTGTCAGGCTACCTTACTGGCGGTTACCTGAACCCCAAAACTATGTAGAATAATAGCCTTTTGGGCAGTTTTAGGGGTTTTGGTGGCTATTATCTTACCTACTATCGGGGTCCAGGTAGTAGGGAATAAAGGCATATAATCCCGATATAACCCCTATGTAATGGATGCCCCTAGTCCCTACTAACCCCAGTAAGCTGTGCAGGCAGATTGTTGGTGATCTTATCCCAATTATGCAGAATCAAATGGACAATAAAATGGAAAGTGACATGAAAACTGGGGTTATAGAGGAATCTATAGGGATTGGTACTGTTGATATAAAAAACTTGCATGACCCTAATATACAATCCTATCATAATTCTCAAGGTTTAGGGTACGCATGGCCATGCAGCAATGCAAGATGTTCGGTATCCACCGAAGTAAACACTAGTCTTGATTGATACTTTGTAGATGTAACGGACTTCGGGATAATATCTTGTGAAAAACTTGAGTTTGTCTCTACGACCTACGTAAACCCTATAACACTCGCCCTTACACAAGTCCTTATACAAACTCAGTTGCCAATTCATTTTCCTTCGTTTTTCATTTGACTCTCCAGTACCTGGTTATAACTTGGGCTTTGCCCTAACCAATTTGAGCCCGAAACCTTAAATATCCTTTGTGATCCGATGGGCAGGCCTCAACTGATTCCAGAAGGTGGTTCACAATCTCACACTGCAGCTGCAACTCTGCAATGGCCTGGTATAAGAGTAGCGTTTGTTTGTTGGTTGAACCCAGTAAGATAATGTTCCTTATATAAAATACGATACCCCAAAAGGAGGATAGCATCTTACTCTATAATAGGTACCATAGTATCCCCAAATAAAATACTATATCCCCAATATAACCCCTATATAATCCCAACATCCATGTCATTTTCCATTTTCTTTTTCATGTGATTCTCCATTATGGGAGTTATTAAGGGGGATGGTTCAGAGGAAGAGGGGCTTCCAAACTGCGGGCCCGTTTTGGAAGTCCTGCAGTGAGGGATGTAAGTTTAGAGTTTCGAGTTGAGGGTTTAGGGTTTAAGGGTTTAGGGTTTAGGGTTCAAGGGTTTAGGCTTTAGGGTTTAGACTGGGGTAGATATGAGGATTTCTCAAAATTAGGACTACCGTTGTGGGTTGTCCCTATAATAAGGATTCTAAAATTTTGGGGTCTATACTGGAGTACCCACATTTTTTGGAAACGCTCATATAATGGGTTTAGGGTTCCGGGTTGGATGATTTTGGAGATACCTAAGCCCCAAAACCTAGACCTTGAACCCTAAAACCTGCACCTTGAAATGGTAATTTCCCAAAATAATGGAAACCCAATATAGACCCCAGAATACTATAATCATAATTATCGGGACCCCCAAATGGTACCACTAATTTGGGGAACCCCAAATCCGATCGTTGGTCTGAAGCTTGCATTATTGTGCAGATTGGATGGGGCCATGCCAGTAGGGACAAAAGGAATGGAAACATGCAAAAGAACATGTAAACAACGATTTCATGGAGGGATTTTACGGTAGATGCTATACTCCCCAAAATAGGTCGTCCTTCTTTGCGGTTGAACCAAGTAAGACAATCTTCTTCTTATAGCAGAGCATAACACAAAACACACACACACACACACCAGATAGCCTTCAACTATATCAGGCAGAGGGCGTATACTTTACAATACTATTCAAGCGGTACATAAGCTTGCAGCTTGCCGCACCACCCTGCTGTGGCCCAAAATGTCGAAGCACTGGGCTTTGTCATACTAGTATACTAAAGCAATTAAAGCATGTTTGGGGCCAGGCAAAAGCCTGTCCATCATCACTACTACGATCAGGGCGCCTATGGCGCTTAGTTCGAGGTTGTTCTTGATGTTTTTTGTTGCTGGTCCTATTGTTGTTGCGGCGTCTGTTATCATTGTTGTTAAAGGGGCAGCCGGGAACAAACGGGAGCAACTTGCGCACCTTACCAAGAGCCCAAATATGGGAACTCCCCCTGCTAGATGAACAGAACGGCCTATATCTAAGGTTAGAAGTATGGGCCCCTAATATGGGCCCTTGGGCGTTTTACGGGGGTTGGAGCGACCCTCAAAGGTACATATAGAGTAAATAGGAAGTAGATAAGGATCCGAGAGTTTAGGGCTCATCCTAGGGGCCCATGGTTTCAACCTTAGACCACATGGCTTGTGTCTATTCCAATGCTAAAGCACTGGCAACAATTCGTTCCATTGTCTCCTGCTCAGAATCTCCAGAGGGAAAGTCATGGATGTCAAATTGTTAGCGGGGAGTCTACCTACAACTGGCTGCAGCTGCCTGCGTCTACGTTGAAAATGGGCCCCGCACAAGTAAGGGGTTTGAACAATGGTGCCAAAAAATACGTGAGCCACTGTCTAAACTCCTAGTATCCCCCTTAATAACCCCTATAACATGCCCCTATATAATCCTCTATATAACCCCCTTTAAGGAGTTTAGACTATGGCTCAATGTATCAGCCATTACACGCTGTAAGCTCCTCAACTGTACACCCCAAACCTGGATCCCTTAACCCTGAAACCCCAAACCTTGAATCTTAAACAAAGTCCAGAATCCCAAACCCGGATCCCTGAACCCCAACCCCTACACCCCAACCCCTAAACCCCAAACCCATGATGAAACTTTTTAAAAACCCAAAAGCACCTGTTGCGCTTGTAACAATCAAGCCTAAGTTGCCTGTTGCAGCAGGACCACTTGTTCTTTCGAAGGTCTGGCCCCTGTCCCGTTTCGGGATGGCTTAAAGAGTTTGAGGTCGAGGTTTAGGGAGTTTGGGGTTTGGGTTCAGAGCTTAAGGGGTGTGGGAGGCTGGGGTTCAGGGCTTACGGCAGTTTCCCAGCCAAGCTAGAGTGAATGATGGAGTCCTATGCCCTCTGCCAGTACACTATATACCCAAGGCTCCGCCTTAACTAGCCTTTATTGACCCTCCTCCGGTGGATACTAAAAATCCTCCATAACCTTAAGCAACTTATACCTTCGGAAAAATAGGATTTTAGTGCATTGAGGTCATGTAGGATGTTTAGTATGAAAACCCTTCTCCTCTTCGTCCTCCCTCATCCTTGAGCTATTTTCTCGTTAGCTTCAGCGATTAAAGACAGGACCGCTGTGAGGGCCAAAAGGTTTAGGGTTCAGGGTTTCAGGAATTCAGGCGTGTTAACATGTTCGTAAAAATTTGCACATCTCAACCGTCCTTGAAACTCCAAACACTGGGTTCTGAAGCCGAAAATCTAGGCCCTGAAGCTAAAACGTAGGCCCTACACTCTAAACCCTCAACTCTAACCCCGGACTTGAAACCCTAAACCGACACTCTAAATAACACCTAAAAACGAAACCCTAATGTAGACCCCTAATTTAAAGAACCCTCCTTTCAATAGGGATTAGAATAGGGATCCCAATATTAAGGCCCTTCAAAGGAGTGTTCTTTAATCACGGGTCTACATTATATCCCCCAAAGGCCGAACTCGATGGGAAAAGAGTATATACTTAGGTTAAACTCCTTAAGGGGGGGGGGCTTGTAAAATGTAGGGGAGTATTATAGGGGGGTTATTAGGGCGGGGATACTCGGAGTTGAGACTATGGTTCGTAATGGGAGTACCTCCAGGCACCCTAAGAATACGTAGAGATGAAATGGGATTGCGGGGGTCCTAGCTGCAGATTCAGAAGAATTGGTTACGAGCTTTGAGAACCAATGAATGATGGAAGGGCGGCTTCCATACTAGGACCCTAAACCCAAAACCATAAAACCCTTAACCCAAAACCCTCAAACCAAAAGCCGGTCGGCCATAGGCTTCAGCAGGTTTGAAGGTTGTTTTTTTTGCATCCCTGCAAATGGAAGCTTGCTGCTCCACTAAACCCTAAGCCCAACTTGTTAAGGGGCGAGCTTCAGATTGGTTTTTTTTGTGGGACCATTTCTCCACTGAAGTTGGTTTAGGGTTTTGGGCTTTGGGTTTAGCAGTTTAGAAGTTTAGGGTTTAGGGTTTGGAACTGACAATTTCAGATGTACAAGCACTGTAGCCTAACTGTAGAGGGCCCACGGACAGGTTCCGTCCCACCGAGACCTGTAATACAAATATGGTTCTAAATATTTACAAAAGACTATACTCTAATAAGAAACAATTCGACAGAATTCCGAACGAGCCCAAAGTTCGCAGGAGAATAAGCCGCCTAATTGAAGGCTCAGGCGAATTTTCAGGTAGGGTTTAGGGTGTAGGGATCAAGCCCCCAGGACCTAAACCCCAAACCCTTCACCCTGCGATTGAATGGAGAAAATCCTCCATTATGGGTCCTCAATGAACAAGTTTGTATGTAACAAGGCCTCTTCCATCCACCATAGCTCTAAACCCTAAACTCATATGAGCTTTTATCGGGACTCCTTCAAAGGGGTTATATAGTGGAGCAGTATAGAGGTTACTAAGGGTGCTACTAGGAGTTTAGACTATAGCTCACACAACCACCTTCAGAAAGAACAGCAGACTTTGTCATACCTCGTGTGGCTACCTTCTGGCGCTTCCATGCTTGTTTGGGGCATGGTAAATCCTAAGCCCCAAGCCCGGCTTCTGTACAAGGGGAAGCGAAATGAGTATCAGGAGTTATCCTCTATAGCCCTGGTGTAAATATGAGCCACCCGGTGTTAAACATATGCCAAAAGCCTCATGAAACTCTTCAGGCAGCCATTTACTGAGACTCTTACATGGGAGCTTCTCAAAAAGAATCGACTGTCCTCAATGGACGCCCCTACACCTACATCCTCGACCCCAATCCCTAAACCCTAAACCCGAAACCCTGGCCCACTCCCCAAACCCTAACCCTAGCGCTTTCGCTTCAAAACTCTAAGGCCCTGCGAAATCCTAACCCTTAAGCCCTCAATCCTTCCCCGTAAACGCTCACCAGTCTTACGGTTGATACGAAAGTTCCTTGTAGGGTTTAGGGCTTAAGGGTTGATACGAGAATTCTAATGGCCATTCTATTTTCCATTATCGCAATAAAACCCCGACATATACTCTATAATCTCTATAATCCCAAATATAGTAGCTTCCATCTTCTTTTCAATTCGCCGAGGCGTCCAGCCTCAGGGCGTTCAGATCCCTTTAAAAACCCCCTCTACTCCCCCTTGCAGACACGCCCAACCCTGGCCACACCCCCCCCCCTCCCCGCCATGGAGGGTGGCCTAGTCCAGCCTGACCATCCCGCATGAAATTTCAGCCTCGCCCAAAGTTCAGGGCGGCAAGGTTCAGGGCGGAGGCCCCTGGAGGCCCCTGGAAGCCCCTGGAGGCCCCTGGACCCCTGGAACGGCCTGGAAGCGCCTGGAAACGCCCCCACATGCATGGATGAAACTGAGTAACCTCTACAGACCCTAATATATACTATGGCTTACAATATATACTATGTCTTATTTATGGGTTTCGCGTTTTGGGTACACTTAATTGGGATTTGCGGTGGAGTATGACAAGAGCACTTTTGTGAGATAAGAGGAGTTTTAGCTACCGTTCTGTGGCTAGACCCCAATATACATTTAGACTCTTGGACAAATGCTTGTGGACACCAGAAGGTTTTCAGGCTCCGAATGCTATACACGAAACACTATTTTGGACCTACGGCAATTAACTTTGGGAAATATCTGGAAGTCTATA